TTTTTGTTTGTTAAAATTAGGATTGTCTTTTTCTTTTTTGTCTGCAAAATCCAAATGAAAATCTAAAATTTCACAAATAAATTACGATGTATAAGGTTTTATTAGAATAAATCCAAATATTGTATTATAGAAGTTTCTTTTTTCCTTACCCTTAACGGATTCTTTTTTTTCGCTTTTTTTTTTGGTATATTAAGCGGACAAAAATGAATTTTTATGAATTTGTTATTCTTTCCGTTTCGTAATATTCCTTTTCTTTCTTCAAATAATTATTAGTTTTATATGATAGAAATAAATTTAATATAATTTTTAATCTTGTCGCTTGTTTATGGTTATTTCTGTCGAACATTTTTAGATGTTATGTATGTATGTATATGTGTTCCTGTGTATGTGTGTGTGTGTATGTGTATGTGTATGTGTATGTGTGTGTGTGTGTGTGTGTGTATGCTGATCTTATACATTTTAAAGAAACTTTTTCTTTTTTCCATAAATCCAAAATCTCGTACCTAAACCTTTTTATATTTTATAATTTTAATATTTTCACCCTACCCAATCCATCTTTCACTTAACTAAATCCCCTGTAACATATTTACCGTAGTGTTTTCATTTTTGTTTGTGAAATTACCAATTATACTTTTTTTGCAAGTTATCGTTGCTAAATATCTCTAAATAGCAATTAATATTCCTGCTAATTAAAGGAAAAAAATATTCATCAATCCCATATTCATATACTTTATTGAATGGAAATCGGAATTATTGCACAAGAATGCTTCCAACAGTGTAATAATCACTAATTTAATAAAATAATAAAATGAGTACTGTAATTACTGAGAGATATAAATTATCACACTCCTCCGTTTATTTTTGATTTTGATGAATTCAAAAGTTTTCCCGAAAATCCGAGCTTTTTTCCCTTTACCATAAATGCAAACATAATTAAGAGATATTAGATATATATGGTGGTACTACTGCCAATCATGAAATCGTTTGTTTTTGTTAACTGGATGAAACTAATTAGCTGCTATCATCATAAGTCTTATTCTCAAGAAGATAAAAACTGAAACTGTCAGCTATCAAGGCACTGCTTTTACCTTCTCCGTTAATTAAGGCATAATTCATAGGTGATTCCGGGATAACTTAATTGTAATCATCCAAATAATGACGATGTTCTCCTATTTTACTCCAACACTCGGTAATTTTTCATATGTTTCATCAATTTTTATTTATCATAATGTCTAAACCGAAATTACTTATCTTCAAATTTGATTTTGGGATAAATTCAAGTAGGTTATAAACATTTTTAGTTCAATATTCAGACTTTCCAACTTTCTTGTAGCATTCCCAAATTAAAATAAACTCCACTTGTACTGATCACTACTGCCATCATTCATCAAATTAAAAGTTGGATTAAGAATAGAGATCACGAATAAATAATATTCCAAACTTGAAACAATTGCAATTCCCACCCGAAATGCTTATTAAATCAGGAGCTTTGTCTTAGAAAATCCAACAAGGAATGCGGAAAATAGTAGTGGAATTATAAACTGTAAGTGAATATGCTCTTGCCAATTTCAAGACAACCCATTCGATCTTTTCTGATTTCAATAGAAATATTGTTTTGCGTATTCTAGCTTTCTTTAAGATGAATGGGTAACTTCTGTCGAGTTTAAGATAAATCATCTTGATACTCACTCAACATTGAGGTAACCAACATATCTTAGCAGTGAAATGAAAAGCAGTAACCAATGCATCTTAGCAGAGAAATGAAAATGATACGGAAGCAGAATACATGAAAAATATATGCAAACCAGAAATCCAATAATCCAAAATGAAAGAATTCATATGGCTGTCAGTCATCTTTTCACAGTGAAGAATTTAGGTTGAAAAAATGAAAATGTTTCCCACAATACCTGTTCAAGAAAAAAAAAATCGACTACATCATAACGCAGATAAAATTTCTTAATTCATATAAAAAATTGATGAACCTTAATCTCTGATTAACTCTCAAGATATGAGCAATAACTTCATTCGATAGGTAATTCAAATGAAGTGAGATCTTGTGTACAGAACTAACTAGTAATTAGAAAGTTTGGAAGGATATAAGGCAAGAAATTATGATATTTATATAACATGCATTTCCCTTTAATAACTTGGAGAAAAAAGTGAAAAGTTCGGAAGTTTTAAACAAAGGTTACGTTTTTTTTATATATAAAGTGGTGAAGAAATTCATTTCGCTAGATCGAAAATACACTATTGTTAAAACCCGAGCTATAACACTGAAATATAGCAACATCTTTAACAGTTCAAACTGCATCATTCTTCAACAAACAATAATCAATCCAGTTGACGGTATGCAATGTCCAACTCCCATAAAAATTTATAATGTTGACTGATAAAACTACAACAAAATATTTTTCAAGCTTGGCCAAAAGAAGATAATCACGAAATACTCTGTGAGAAGTGTCTAGAAAGTTAACCATAACGTCATTTTCTAGTTTTTCTGTTACTCTGACGACTTTGACAAGCAATACCAAGAAACATAAGTAAGATGATGGACAAGCATGACGAGCTTCACATATTTGAAATAAAATTAAAATTGAAGTATGCAAATCATCATGCGGTAATCAGAAAAGAAAGAGTCATCCTCTAATGCATTATCATTCTGTATCGTACAGTGTTTTTCACGACACTATCGTTCACTGAACACTTTTATTCTGTCCCATTACAGTTCCCTTTTATATTTGTATCGATTCCTGAAATTCACTAGAATATTTTTTTTTGTTCTTTTTTTTTTCTTAAGAGAACAATATCATAGCTCCAGTCATTCTGTTCCTCATCTCATTTTCCACCCCTGCTTTACCTGTCCCAATATTCCACCTCTGCCGTGGGTTAGTGAAATTTATACAACCGGGCCGCTGAATTATACGACCAAAAATTTGAATGAAAAAACTTCCACTGAAATGTCTTCACATCATTCCAGCTTTTTTTGTGTTTTTATTTGAGGCAAAGCATCTTCCGTCTATTGCTTACTTAGATAACACCGTGCACCCTCTTCAAAATGGAGCTCATATTGCCAGATATCACATTATTTGAATTTAACTCCTTAGACTATGGACAATAATAAAAATTATTAAATGGATCGAACAGTAACAAAGGTACTGATTACAAATGCCGAACCCAAAAGTGCGTTGCTGCGAATTTTTTCACCGAAGATCAATTTCTTTGCTTCTTGAACCTCGTTAGATGCATCTTTTAACATGGCATCCGTCTCGATTGTCATTAGATGTTTCGGTCCCAACGTAAAGCTTATGATTTCATACGCCTTTTTACAATAAAGCAAAGCTCGATGCGGCTGCTTACACCTGAAATCCTTTTTCAAATTTCTGATCTACTTTACTTGAAGTATCAAATATTGCTGATGAATGATTTGGCTAAATTTCAAATCATTTACTTCAGATAGAAAGTAGCAATGCTGCGATAATGAATGCCAACAGCGGGATGATTGAAGGGAAAACAAAAACGGACGCATTCTTCCGCTTCCAAATGCAAATCCAATAAAAGTTGACAGTCTGACATATTAATCAGTGGAATTAGCAGCTAAAATTGGTCGAACTGGGATCACTGATTCCAAGCATTCTCAAAAAATTGAAAAAAAAAGATAAAACTGAAATAATAAATAGATTGAGCATGCTGTGGATATTAATCGCCATTTCTTGAAGATGGAAGAGAGACAGAGGTCATGACCTCGTAAACTTCTACATTAAACAGAAATAACGTACCTGGATGATTTTGCACAGGAACACATTTACTTTTGACAATAACTTGCTAAAACGTTCCTTCAAATCGGTTAAAAATTTAATACTTTGCTCTCGTGACATCTAAAAACAAGGAATAGCTTATGACTGACTACGAAATTTAACTGGCAAGAACCAGCAGTGACTTTTGTTTGTAGCTAATATCTACTGGGATATGAATCAAATAAATTAATGATGCTTGCAATCCTTGATTTATTTACTTGACTTGTGCGGGTAACTCCGTCATTTCTACAATAATTCCTCTATTAAAGGTATTCCACTCACTTTGCGAATATAAAGTTTTACTGTACATTGTAGGAACAAGAAACCTTTTAAATCATTATGTGTACAAAAAACTTTACAAATCGTTATGAATACAAAAAAGTCTGACAATGTCTTGCAACAAATATGTTGGCACAACGAATACAAAATTCAGTTTATTAAAATTTTAGACTACGACAACGCCTAATTTCCAACGTCAATTTTCACAAATTCTCTGCCGCAATTATCAAAATAGATATCACTTCTTCCAAAAAACAAAAAATAGAAAAGTCAACCTGCTCAACTTCATGATTTTCAACAATTTTATCGATAAAACGCATAGCTCCTATCGCTTCTACAACATACTCCGGGGATACTTTATTATGGCATTTCGGACAGGTTATTATTTGAGTGTTCCGGTCCTTGTATGGTAAATCACCGAATATACATAAATATTCCCGTTTCTCCTGCAATTGTCATCCAATTACATGATTCATGAAATATGTCCAGGCTGCATTCACGATTCAGAACAACTGATAAGAATGACGGGGATTTAATGCAAATGTACTGATTGCATGAGCGTGAAAAGCTGCAACTTTTGCACTGCAAATACAGTACTAGTTCACCGCAATATGGAGGAAAGTGAACAGCATATCTTTCAAATACAAAAATTTATTTTCTACGGTATATTTTCAAAAGGACTCACTATAAGGCTCCAAATTATTACGTCCATGTTATAGAAATTTAAAAAAATAAACGAAAATATCCCGCAAATTTAGTTATAGCAATACGAGGATTCTGAACGAAAAATTGATTTACCGGACAATTTGGACATAAAATGGATGACAGGAGAGCATCATCCGGATCACTACAGCGTGTGCAATGACATTCAAAGTACCAAGTATCCTTCAATAATTTACGTCTTTGTTGTGTTGTACTGCAAAGATAATTTAGAAAATCAAATGACAAACAAAACATTTTAAGGACATTAAAATTTAAAAGGAAGCAAAATCAAGATGTAGGAAATTGTCAATATGCACAAAATATATATACTGCCCTTGACACCATCTTTACAGGAATAAATTCATCTCAATGATCTCATTTAAAACAGGAAAAAGTACTTGATTAAATCTATGTAAGAATAATGAGCTGAACTGAGATTTCGCAAGTCGACGCTAGCAGTAAGGCCCCTCAATGTTGCAACAAAACCATCACAAGTATATATTGTATTTGGACGACAACTATGATCGTAAGCACATAAGTCCAAATATAAACCTTTCCCGATTTCCTGAAAATACCATTAATAGAACGAAAAGTTTCCAAAAACCAGTTTCCAAGCTCCGATTCACAGTTTTTATTAAAAGTAACTTTTGTAAGGTTTTTACAAGTAGGATATAGCACAGTACTCCATGAAGGATGGGTTACAATACAAAGTCATACTTCCGGAACCTCCAAGCAAACACAGAAATGCTACCATAAGCTAATCAGTCAAGACCAGTATCGTACATAAACAACCTATATGACTAGTGGATTAAAATGAATGGTCTTGCAAATAGAATTCGAGCTTTCCGAGAGGCCCATATATACAGCTTTGCCCGATCGGATGTCATGCTTTACTGTGCTGATTGCTGTACTTAACAAACGCATTAACAGGACGTACTGATCAACTAATTTATTCACAACTGTTCCTGTACATGATAAATTACCTCTATGTAACCGCAATCACTGATCGCATGGCGATTGATATAGTCTCGGCAATGCAGCTCGAACACTTCATCTTTACCAACCATTGCTTTCGATCCATAGAATGCAAGAAGATCAGCATAAATCCCTTTAAATCAATCTCGTTATTTAAACTAAATGTGTTAGTCTCGGTACTTTCACGCATGCACACGGGAGCCTTGCATTTTTATCCTTTCCATTGTCGGATTATTTCATGTTTCTTATCCAAAATTCTTTGAAAATGCAAAATTCAAATTAGGAACAAAAGACCGACAAATGTTCACTCCTCCTTAGGAAAACACAAATATTTGGAATTTCATAAATGAAATTTGGTCCATCCGACAAAGGCTTTGCATCGAGAGAGTCGGAATCCTAAATTTCAAGAATTTCACCACTTTTCTCTCGATCCCATTGACAAATTCTCACCATTAAATTTTTTCATAGCACCAGGATCCTGTTTTATGAGATCCGTGTGGGACCAGATATCCATAATAGATCGTTTGGATGTACGATCCTTGTAAAAATTATTGTCCTCCTTGTCTTTTCCCAGTTTAATTGCCTAAACTACACTATAAGTTATATTTGATATGTAAAAATGCTGAATTGTAAATTTTTCCAAATTCTTAATTCGATTATTTCAGGTTATTATCCATTTTCTCTCGATCTCGGCGAAGTATTTATAACACAGACTCTGATATAGAACAGACCTTATAACGAGTAACAATCCTGCCCAGCAAACGCACTTCAATATTAGGTATTTTATCATGCAATTGGAAAGCTTTGCACTCCGATCGATGATCTTTCCATCCTAATGTTTGACACTTTTGATTACAAAACATCCCTTTACGACATGCACGACAGCGCCTACAATTTAATATTTTTGAAGTTTATGTTGGCACCATAATGATATAATTAATGAGATCTGTGATTCCCATCTAAGATAAAACTTTCGAATCCGAAGTCAATTTCACCTTTTATAAATGGACGTTTAGAACCTCAGTACATGTTTCTCACTCATGAAAAAAAAAGCGTCTACAAAATATGAAAGAACCGCGATAAAAGTATGCAATAAAAAAAAAGGAAACCATTACTTAAGTGTGTCAGCCTTTGCAAGGCAATACCAGCATCGGCTTGATAACTGCTCATCATGAAGGGAATACGCGAACGGATAGAAATCAATCCCCAGTGAACTATCAGCACCTTCAGATGTATCAATTCCGGTAGCTATTTCTCCATTAAGTTCAACAGTGCTCTTTCTATCTGTTTCTACATCATCACATTTCACTGATTCATTCTAAAATTATTAATTAACATATATGAACTTCCCATTCTAGCTTAAAACCATTCAATTAATAAATCACAAAAGAGTAATCACCTATTCCAGAATTCATTAGTATAGTAATGATAAAAATAAAAAATAAAAAAAAAAAAAAGAGCTTGGAAAGCAGAAATGACCATCTAATACATTCGATTTTCAAAACAACATTTCGTACATGAATACATTTGGTGGAATAAGTTTAAATAATAAATCCGAAATTATTCAACAAATACCTGGATGGATATATTATTGGCGACATTTGGTTGACGAGATCGATTACCAGCTTTGGCATGACGATGAGGCTTCTTCTTCTTCTTCTTCATCTTAGCTCACATATTATCTGAACCACATTTCCCAGTGTTAAGATGTTGTTTCGATTGATCAATAATTGTTTATTGTTCAATGCTTGTCTCTCGCTCACTCACTCTCATCGAAATCATCCTTCTCCTGTGCCAAACATTAACTTCATTATCTATCAGCTTGTTCTTCCCAGTCATTTTCCACTCATCCTTCACTTCCTTCCTCTTCATCTTCTCCCCATCCTTACACCTACTACTAGCTATAATCTGTGGATTTAATCTCATTGAGTACAAAACTTTCCAGTCTAGTCGGAAAATTGCTGAAACGGTTGATTTACAACAAATATTGGTAGTAGAAAGGGGAGAGAAACGAGAAGAGAAGAGGAGACCAAATCAAAATTGAATATAACCAACTTGTGAACATATTTACAACACATCAACTTCATTATCTCTTCCATTGATTGGATCGAGTTAACATTTCCATTCAGCTGTGTTAATCTATAATTATTATCAATTGATTGATACGTTATCACTCTAGTTATGTGTAACTTTTGATGGATGATAAACTAATGAGAAAGTTTGATACGAAAATCAACATGACCACTTCTAACACATCCAACCTTATCGAAGAAGGCAAAGCTTACAAATGATCAGGTGGTGAAGATAAGAAAATGTACTGTATGTACAATGGTAACAGACAACCATGATTAAATTAAATTTCTTCACAAATTTTCTATTTTAAAAATGGCCAATGTTAATTTAAAAATAGATCTAAACTTCCTCTTTCAGAAATGGCCTTGCCAAATTTAAATTTTGTTCGTTTGAGAAGATTTAATTACACACTGAAACTGGAAAGGATTGCCGTAATTACTTATATTATTTCACCTCTCTTGTTTAAAGAAAACTAAAGTTGAATTGTTGACATTAGGAGTTCCTTTGATTAGTTTTATTGGAGCTGTCTTCAAATGAGTTTATCGGTTTGATTCATTCAGTATAATTCAAATTACTCTATTGAAGTATCCCTTTATTAAAATAATTTTAATAAAATTGCAAAAAAATTTCTAAAAATCCTACATCCACTACCATTCCAAGTAAATATGATGAATTTAGAGTTAAAACTTTTAGACCCATTAATTTCTTCGAACTGTCACCTATAGAAATTAGAGAAGAAAAAAACCAAACATTTAATTACAATTTTAATTGCCATTCAAATCTATATATCTCACTCCGACATCATTATTCTCCAAGCATCATTAAAACGTACATTTCACTATCCTCTTGCTATTCTCTCAATCTCTCGCCAAACCACTTTCCCTCTCATTTCCTGCTGTCTCTTTAACCGTACGCTATACTTCCATTTATCACTATGGCTATGGTAAATCAATATCGTTATTTAATACGTGTAACTTTTAGCAAAATTTTTCAATCTGTCTTATGTTACCTCTAAAAATTTTAATATCATATAGCATCTCTACAATATCCAATGTATTTACAGTTCTCTCAATCTCTACCAGGAATATCATTCGACCTTATCAACCCATCACTTTCCCACCACTACTTTCATACCAAATGTTAACCATTCACTCATAATGTCACAATACACATCATTCAAGCTTACCAATATGAAAACTTTCCGTCTCCTATGCTTTTTAAATATGCCCTTTGAACTGTACATCTTGGACTAAATCCTTTTGAGCTATAATCATTTCGAACTAGATTTTATGAATTGCGCAATCTTGAACCAAACCCTATTGAATCATACCATTTTGAATTAAACCTATTAAAATATACCATTGAGCCCTTTACAGTCCTTTACAATCCTTTACATTACATCATCTTGAACTAAACCCATTAATCCATACTTCATAACTAGATGACTTCTTTGAACTATAGTTGAACTAAAATTGCATTCACTTATACTACCCTGAACTAAACTCTTCATACTATGCAAAAATTGAACTACCGAATTAAGTCCATAGTTCGGTGAATTGGGGGTTTTAAAACTAAACCCAATTGAACTAATGAACTTAATCTGTCGAATTAATACCATTTTGCATCAAATCCATTGAACTATATCATTTTGAATTAAACCCATTGAGTTATGTCACTTTGAATTAAATCCATTGAGTTTTGCCATTTTGCACTAAACCCATTGAACTACGCTATTTTGAACTACACTCCCTGAACTATGTCATTTTAAACTAAACCCATTGAACCAATAAACTTTACCGTCGAACTAATACCGTTTTAAACTAAATCCACTGAATTGTGCTACTTTGAATTAAACGCATTAAGCCATGCTATTTTGGGCGAAATCTATTGAACGAACTATGCCATTTTGGATTGAACCCATTGACCTGTGATTTTGAATTTTGAATTTTGTCATTTTGAACCTATTGAGCAAGCCATGCCATTTTGCACTAAACCCATTGAACTATAACATTTTGCACTAAACCCATTGAACCATGCCATTTTGAACTAAACCATCAATCCATGTCATTCTGAACTATATCATTTTAAACCAAACCCATTGAACTAGTGAACTAAACCTATTGAACTACATCATCTTGTTAAATTATGTCATCTTGAAATAAAATTTTATCGAATCATAGCCTTTCGAACTATAACCGTTTTAAACAATAAAATCTTGAATTAATTGAACTACACTCATTGAACAATGCCATTTTGAAATGAACCCTTCAAGTATATCATCATGAATTAAATAAATGATGTCTTGAAATTATTATGCCTTTTAAACCATACCATCGTGAATTAATTGATTAAAAACCAGATCCCACTGAATAAGCCTAACCCATTAAAGTAATGTTGAAATAAGCTCTTTGATCAGCAAATACCATATTACATTCCATCCGTTTCAGTAATTGACTGTAGTTTATTCGGAATTTTTCAACGAAATGAATATTTTCCAGACGTGTTTTCGAGAATGAATGCAATAAAAGACGAGTTAATGGAAGAAATGGAATTGGGAGATGCTCAAATGGTTCCAGATGGAGCCAAAGATGTCGAAAAAATTTCACATATGTAAGATGCTTCTTTTACCCATTTTTTTTTTTTTTTTTCACTCATTAACGGGCAGATCTAAGAATGCCAAGGAATGTATCAATTCTGTTCTGGATTGAAGAATTCCGGTAAAATTTACACATTCAAAATTGAACAACAATATTTTACAGGGGTTTTATCCGGATGTTCATTTCTGGTAGGTTACGATTTCCAAAAGAGCTAAAGGAATACTGCTTTGGTTACGAGGTACTGCTTCTTTTTTCTGCTTCTTTTT